TAGTGCAAATCTAACATAGGACATCCTGCCACTGGAGAAACATGGCGGTGGCAGCATTATGCTGCTTAATGCTGTTCTTCAGCAGGAAGAGGGAAACTGTCCAGAGTTATTGGGAAGCTGTATGAAGCTGAATACAGGGCAATACTGGAAGAAAATCTTAGATTTTTTTTGTAAAACAACATTCAAAACCAGGCATAGTTTTTCCATAACCTCCTTAGTTAAACATTACTTCACGTTGGCCATTTGAAATGTCAATAAAATATGTTGAAGATTGCAGCTGTAACATGAAAAAATGTGAAAGAAAATATTAGGGCTGGAATACTTTCTTAAAGTACTGTAAATCCTCCGCCATCGCAAATGAACTGATGAACAGATGAGCTAGTTTGTTGGTAAGTTTGGAAAAAAAACATTGTGAAGTGAAAAAGAAATTATTATAATCACTGTGACAATTAAGACAGCTACATGTTTCTGTTTGATATTTCAAGAAAGGGCAAAAGTAAGTAATAGTAGGTTATTAAGACACAGATACAAGTTCTCTAATCCCAATAAATAAAAAAGGAACTCAAAATTGGTTAATGGGTAATAACTGTGACAAATGTGCAGCAGTTGTAGTCAGTTGTTTGATGGAGAATTATGATATAATCCATAAAAAAAGAGCTAGTTCGAAAAAGAGTGGCATTTGGTGTTGTGAAACCTTCCCCAACCTGGCAAACAAGATGTTCTTCTCTGCCAGAAGGCTTTGTAGCCTCGTCTGTTTCTCACATTCCTACCTGTCCAAAATAACACCTAAGATCTCTCATTTTCATCTCCTCACTGTTACTGTTATGTAACTGTCCCACACGAACTCTGTGGATTTTGAAGACATCAGTTTAGAAAGTGTGCATTTTGTACAAATCTAATAAAGCATGTGGGCCATAGTACACCTTGTCCAGTGTGAGTTAGAAGTTTGCAGAGAAAAAAGTGAGCTATATTGGGCGGCTGGGCTCGATATATCTCCTTAAGACATTACTCACTGTAGGATTCCATTGATGGTATCATGTCAAAATCATTTACTGTTGCTGCTGTCTTTGTTCTTCCATCCATCCATTATCTGTACACCCTTGTCCCTTAGTGGGGTCAGGAGGTGCCTATCTCTAGCTAATGTTCCAGACAAGAGGCAGGGTACACCCTGGACAGGTTGCCAGTCTGTCACAGGGCAACACAAAGACAGACAGGACAAACAACCATACACACACACCTAGGGAGAATTTAGAGAGGCCAATTAACCTGACAATCATGTTTTTGGACTGAGGGAGGAAACCAGAGTACCTGGAGAGAACCCACACATGCACAGGGAGAACATGCAAACTCCATGCAGAAAGATCACAGGCCAGGAATTGAACCTAGAACCTTCTTGCTGCAAGGCAACACTGCGCCACTGTGCAGCCCCATGTCTTTGTTTTTATATGTGACAAATATAATTTTTTTTTCTCATTAATCAGATGTCTGCACTGATTTTTTTTTTCCTTTGCTTTGTTGATGTTTCCTTGCAGACACTGATTAGGTAGTGAGAGACCTAATCAGAAACGAAATAATACCAACAAATCTCCTGTTGAAATTTCATTCAGATTTCTTAAAAACTGTGTGAGGCGTAATGAAAAAAAAAACAGCATTTCGCACATCTTAATTAACATGTGATTTGGCTTTGATATGCAAATATCTGCTAATGATTCCCAGTAGAGCTGCAGCTATTAGTGCAGTTTGACTGATTTCCAATTAGGAAGGCTCGATAACATCTTTAGCGACTCTGTGATCATGCAGCAAAACTCTTCTGCAGGCTGCTTGTACAAAAATGCCTATCCCACACCCCTACAACCATGGAGAGACAAGAAAATGTAGGTAATCCCTTCTCCTTAAGATTCTTTATGAAATCCCTGCAAAAAAAAAATTTAATTCAAAACATAGACCAGCATCAATTTTGCTTACCCCAAAGTAGCTCCTTGTTCCATTGTCCCACAGCACCACCAGGTCTGCGTTGGTGAGTTCACCGCGGTCCGACATCCCCAGGACCACCCCATGTCTGAGCTCTGCAACCCTCAGCTGTATGTAGACCTCCTGGGTGGCGTAGCTGATGTTCCAGGCCAGCTGCAGGTTTCCAAGTGGGTCCAGAGGCATCCGGAAAGGCATGGGGAGAGGTGGCAGAGAACTGGAAGGGCTCGGCTTTAGGCTGGACACGTCGACGGCGTTGGAGGGCGCCTGATACGAAGCCACTAGGATGACCATCAGGGCAGCCAGGCCAGTGAAATACATGATGGTGAAGTCCTGAAGGCGGACGTCTTTGCTGAAGATCCTCATGCTGGCGGACAGATCCTTTCAAGTTGTTTTTCTTTTCCTTACTTCTCTTGCCGAAGTTGAACTGAAGTTTAGGCCGAGAAACAAACTGCGAGGGAACTTTTTCTCCAGTCTTGCTATAAAAATGATGTAATCCTCCAGACTAATACGCTCGCATTTGTCTTGTTTGATTTCAGGGTTCGTGTGACATAACAGACCCGCTTTCTTTCTGTGTTCTGCCCTCTCCGTCTGTAATGTTAGACAAAGTTTGACCTTCTGTGAAGCATCTGCACTTCTTCTTTTCTATTTATCTGGTGAGATCCTCTGTTGGTGTCCTCTTTCCTCTGAACAACCGCTAGGTCTCTTCCGACCTCATCCACCTCTTTGCTTTTTAAAAGACTCCTCCCTTGTAAGTTGCCTGTTTTTATCCAGCCTAATGGTATTACATTTATTGAGGAAAATTGAATTGTGTTCTTTAAGCCCTGGGGATCGGTCATGATTCTGCACGTCTGCCAGACCATAATTGATCCAAATCCAGCCATGGGCATTATCAATGACCATCAAATTGGACTAACTTAAGTTTATTGTTCTTTCTGTTCTCCTTTGGTAAGCAAATCACCAAAATTATTTGTTTTTCTACATGTAAATGTTTTCTATATATTCTACCAACACTAGAAGCTGCGCTCTCCCCAACCCCCATTGATTCAAACAACATTTCGGGGGCAGTGGGAGCTTGGGCGATGTGTAAACAAGGCATTAAGGCATTACGTCCTCCTTAACCTATACCTGAGGCTACAGAAGACCTAATCTAACTGTCAATACAGGTTTTCAAAAGGAGAAGTGATGTGATCTACTAGGCTAGTAAAGTCACTGTGAGAGGGGTGTTTAGTGAAAAAAGGTTTGCTACAGTAGAAAAATACATCATGAATTAAAATAAGGATTGATTTATTTACTTGTTTTCATGATTTGTTTTTCCATAATGTGTGATCTTCAGCAGAAAAATATTTATTTATCACTTATAATAGCAGAAACATTATCTTATTGTGATTTTATTTATTCATTACCTTTTGAACATTACCTTAAAAACATGTAAGGATTCACAAATATTAGACATATATTTTGATGAAAAAATGCAGTATGATTTTTTTTTTTTTTTTAGAAACTGGATCTGTAAATCCTTGCAGATCTGAAGCATAACTGGGATCTGACTCTGTCATGTTTGACTCTGTCGGAGAAAATCATTGCGGTTTCCAATTTTTTGGTATTAATGGATTTATATTTTGCTGATATGCAAATGATTTTTTTCAGCAACAACAATAGAATATGGGGTAATTATTTCTTCAAAAAAAAAGAAGAAAGTTTTATTATATGGTTGGTGTCCAAAGCAAAAAAGTCACTAGATGTTTTCAATCCAATCCCACTTACTATTACTTTTAAATGGAAGGAAGAAGTTAATATCGCCAGTAAATAATGAATGTTTTTGATGTGCCCAATGTTTTCCAAGTTAAGATGCGTCAGTGACAATCTTGAACTAAAACTCTTGAAAATTGTCAATCAAATTTGCCATATTTACAACAATCTCAAATTACATTTGGATGTGACACAAGATCAAAACTTCGGACACCATTAGGTGATGATTTTATTAAACAGAATCCTTTTTGTTCCCAAACGTGTTAAGTATGGACTCACCCTGCAGCAATAGCATAAGTGTTTACCTCAAAACCATTTTTTACCACATATAACAAATCACAGCTTATTGCCACAAATCCCAAATTCAAACATTAAGTCAGAAATGTATTGATTACTTGAATATTCCAGAAAACAATAGAAAAACCTAGTGATGATTTCGAACATCTCTTTTTCACTGGAGAGGATTCAATGGATCTCAAAATTATTTCAATTGCAGGTAAAGCTGAGGTAAAACTCTGCTGCAGAGTGACTGCCAACTCTGAATGAAATGAAAATAAATAAATAAATAAATAAAAAAACCCTCTTATAGGACGTCAGACTATTGAGTTTTTGCTTTTTATCCAGAAGGGAATCATAGAGGAAAAGCTTTGGACCAGAACAATAAAACAGACAGGATAAGAGAAATCCTGCCATTGTGGTGGTTAATGTAATAAAAACGTCACGTCCCCTTGGGCGCAAACAGAGCCCCGTATGTTCTGAGCACAGCTCTCATATGAGGCTCAGTGACCTTCTCTTTATCTCTACATGCTTGACAATAATGATTTCGTTCTTCTCCTTCATTCAGCCACACTTCTGATGCTTGGCCCGCTCTGCTTCTCTCCCGTTACACGTTTCTCCGCCGGGGCGTCTTTCTTTCACTGTCTGCCTTCTCTTCTTCTCTTACAGGCACACTTGTCTTTCTGGTGCCACTACTGATGCGTCAGCAAACAGAGCTGAGACGCTGTAAAGTCAGCTGTGAATTGAGGAGACGAGGTGTGGGGGCAGGGACGTCGGATGAAATGAGCTATTACTCTTAGGAGTTTAATGATTCGTCTGAGCCGTCCTTCTGTTTGACTGGGCTCGTTGTTGTAACTTCACTGAAGAATTGGATGCGTAAAGTTGGATGTGCCGAACATTTTCTCTAATCCCCACAGGGTCTAGATTTTAAATTAAATTAACATGATGGTGTAGGCTGGGGAGCAGGGCCACATCCCAGCCACGGCTCTAATTATCCAATTTTCTACTCACACCCAGTTCACCAATCAATCTCAGTTTATCATGTTCATTTGACACCGCCCTCTTTTTCTCCCTGCGGGGCATCATTTCATCAGTAGTCTCCTTCTACTCCTCTTCTATCTCACTACGCCCAACTATCTCCCTCTGCTTCCCTCCTTCATTCTTCACTTATATTCATGTTCCTTCTTTTTCTAAGCTCCATCTGGTCTTAAGTTGCCCACATGCTGACGCTCCTCCTCTCAATCCTCCAACAGCTAGTGTCCAAATGAAGATGTATCATCACATCCTACGTGACTCATCTCCAAATCTATATTTTAACTTTAATATGTACATGCACCCCCTCTCGTATTTTGCTAAATGTCTGCTTAGGAAGTCGACCACATGCTCGTGCCCATTAGCCAGCTTCTTGCATAATTCTGGCAGAACATTTAAGACTCTAAACAGAGAAAGTGAAGCTTAACTGTATCTAAGCTTCAACAGACTGTGCTGATTTCAATTTCAGTTTCACCTTAACTTGCACCTCCACCCATGCTTGTTTTGCCCATCGATCTTCTGAACAGAATTAGAGTTTATCCAAATTATTTGCTTTCCTGACACAGACTCAAAAAGACAGCCCCGCAGCATGATACTGGCACCACCGTGCACCGGTTCTCAGTTTAGAAAGCTTCACTGCAAAAGTGCTTGTTGGCATTGTGAGGGAAAGAAAACTCAGTTGAAGGAGATAATGTGAAACTCATATCGATAATGAACTTATGTAAGGTTTTGTCGGAACTATATGTGTATGTTGAGCTCTGAAGAATAGATTGATCAATATATGTGCATAGGTCATGGTTTGTCAGGATAACATCAAATATCATTATGCTGTGCTCTTGTTGGTCCATTTTGTTGATGATGTTGGTGACAGAGGTTATAATAAGAGTGTATGAAAGTGTTCAGAGTGATGGAAGAGGAAATGAGGAAAGTAGGAATGGTTTGAAATGACCAAACCATTCCTACTTGTGTCCCTGACTCCCTCTGCTGATGCCTCTCTGATAGCAGTGACCCATTTTTGCCACACTGTGTCATGGTCCAGTTTTGGTTTTATTATGTAATTTATTTATTTATTTTACTAAAATTGGAGGTACTTTTTGCAGACAGGACAATGTAAAGCACCCCAAGCTATTTTTTAAAACAAAAATGGCAATAAAGTGTGGTTTTTATAGTGATCAGATCGCCTCTCCAGCTCACGTCACCCTATTTCCTTGTTGCATTTGTGGAAGTCCATGAAAAGCATAAAAACACATAAAAGCAGAATTCACCCTCCCCTCACACACACACACACACACACACACACACACACACGCACACGCACACACACACAGCCAATCCAACCATCTCATTCTCTGCTAATATAAATATTTCAACACTGCACACTCTCAAAGTGCTCTAATCTCCACTTCTTTCAGTCTGAATAATGAATGCAATAAAAACTCACACCACTGCCCCGAGCAGTGCCTCAAACTGCCCCGAGCCTGATCCGGATATGAGACCCAAGCAGTTGTAAGTTGGATTGGATAATTAGAAAAAAAAAAAGATGAGTAAAGAGGTTTTAGGAAAGAGTGGCTGAAAAAAAAGGGGGTGGAACAGATTTCAACAGTGAGATAACCAGGGGGTAATATTGGGCACAAAGAGATGAAACTGGACCTCAGAGTCAGGAGGCAAAGGGAGCAAAAGGACAAGTGACAGAAGAAGGTACACAGGGAGAAAAATGATCCTTCAAGGGACAATGTGTCCATCTTCCTAATGGAGCTTGATTAAGGTTTTGTTCCAGATGAAAAGGCCAGTTTGTCATTGTGACTTGGCTGAACGCTCTGTGGTCAGGTGTAATTCTTTTAATTATTAATATGGATTTGGCCGTCCTAAAGTCATTGATTATGGTCACAAAGAAAAAAAAAACTAATCCTGTTTGGAGGATGTTATTTGGAGTGTTATGGTCCCTATTGCATAATTGCAGGTATGCAATGCTGCACAAAAGTTTACATAAATTCAAAATCAGCATGACATTTAATAACGCTTTTCGCTGTTCCTAATAAGGCGATTTTAAAGGAATCACACAAAAAAAAATACACGTGACATTTCATTTATCCCTATATGAATAAACAAAAAACAGGTTTCAATTTCCTTTAATTTACAGTTGGTCTATGACATAAAATCGCAATAAAATACATTAAAGTGTCTGTTTGCAATCGTGAAAAAGTTCAAGAGGTATGGATGTATTTTTTTTTCACGTCACTGTAGCCTCAGCCCGACTGTAAGCAGGACTGGCTGCATTTACTACACTGACTTTCCGTTCAGGCACTGTGGCCAACCTCCCCTGGATTTAAAGCGCAGCTTCTTCTTCTTTTTTTTTTTTTTCTCTTTTCGTCTCTACGCAGAATCGGACGTCACTCTGCAAGATTCGGCAATTAATTGGCCAACGCGGAAATAACATCAACCGTGCATAAACAGACGCCGTTATTCTCGGAGAACTATCCAGTTGCAGGCGTTTGCTTTTCCACAACAAAGGCTTAAAATAAAAATAAAAAAAAATAATAAAAAGCCGGATAGCGCACATGCGGTAAGAGGATAAAACACTGGGAAGGAAGCCGGAGGAGATCCAGAAAAGAAGAAGAAAGGAGAGCGGGATCTAAGCCGGGCGAGAGGCGCAACCTGGAGCGACGCTACTACAAAAATCTGACCTCGACCTTCTAGGACGCTACTCGAAAGTGGTCGTAGGGGAAGAAATGGCGAAATTCCCCCCCGTCACCCATGCTGTTTCTCCAGCGCACATGTTGCCCAGGCTACTGGTGCTGCTGATCATGAGGATGTTTGCGTAGGAGTGTTATATTTTTCTGCAGATCAGTCTGCACTGTTTCAACAACTCCAGCCGAGCGGTTGATGGACTTGTGCGCTGCTGAGCACATCTGTCAGATAAAACGTCGTTATCACCGGAAACCGGTTCGCTTTTATTTATTTATTTTTATTTTTATTTTTTTACATTTTTATTTATTTTTTTTTAACGTTTGAAACCTTTTTGATTTTGTTCCTATCTTTTTTTCTATACTCCTGTCTGGAATTGAGCTTAAGAAAAGAAAAAAATGATTTTCATCTCAAGAGAGTGTGAAGGAAGCTGATCTACTGGAGAAGATTAAGGAAATAAGCCTGGACCTTTGCATCTTTTGTCTGGATTCTTTTCTTATTAATGAAGGACAGTCAAAGAGGATTGGGCCTCTTGGGGGTTATATTTGCTTCCAGTTCAGAGTTGTAAACTCTTTCATAAGCAAAGACAAAGA